GTCGTGTAAATAAAAAGACAAAACAGGAGGTGTCTCTGAGCTTCTCTGACCTGAATGTTAAGGAGAAAAGCCACAAGCGGGCCCGAGGGCCAACGTTTCTTGTCAGCTGATGCTCTGGAATCTTCACCAGCGGGAGCCCACGCTTCCTAAGGGCTCCTTCGTGTGCACAAAAATGCGTGGTTCCCCACCTGTCACACGGAGCGCAGGGGGGGGGGGGGGGGCGCGCGCACACGCGTGTGTGTGTGTGTGTGTGTGTGTGTGAACTTGTGCAGGAATGGGAGTGTGTGAGATACACGCAGCGCCCAAACCGAGCCCCTCAGGAGGGAAGATGAGCCATTCTCACCTCCTTCCCTGACGTGAACCTCCTTGTTGATTCCCATTAGGAAAATGAGCCTGAGCGCTCTGCCCACTTTTGGGTATAATTGTTTCAAAGTTTAATTAGCTGACATTTGGGAAGTGTGGGGAGTTGGGGTGGAGTATTCGGAGCACGTGTACCAGCCATAAAGCATCTGTTAGAGTTGCTAATGGGAAGATGCAGTTGTAGAAAAAGTGGAGAAAATGGCTAATTGAAGAAGCATGTCACCCAGTATTACTCCAGTAAAAAAATTTTTTTAAAAAAACTAAAAAAAAAAAAAAAAGATAGCAAGGAGGGAAGCAGAGAGGAATCAAAGCACCACGAACATCCTGACTGGAGATGTCACATATGCCTTCAAAACCCGAGGCCTCCATCCGAGGCCTGACCTTCGTACCTGCCTGAATCTGCATCAATTTCCGCATGGTCTTGAGTTCCTGGAGAATGGCCTGCAACGTTGACTGGCAGTTACAAGTACAGCAGTTTGATCCAACTGACGAATTCACCACTGGGAGTTCTCCTGAGCATGAAAGAAAAGAATGACGGACGCCAAGCAACAGCAAGATTATAAACAGCCAAAAAAAAATAGGAAGGTACCGTGACAGGCATCTGAAGCCTGTGCAGTTAACTATGAAATCGTGCCTGAGGAAAATGTACCCAGTGATTTGGACAGCCTAAATTTTGGGGTCTGACTTCATCTAATTATCCAGGCTTCTCTACTGTCAGGTGCGTGCTGTGTCTCGGGTGGCAGAGCCTGCGTGAACGGACACACACAATTCACTGTCACAGCAGGCCTCCCTACTGACACCCCAGTTCATCTCAGATAACAATTCCAGAAAAATTCACTAGAAACACACTCATGCTATTGCACAAAAATCTAGCCCTGAGAACAGTGTTACCAAAAAAACAAAAAAACAAAAAAAACAAAACCCGGTAGCTGGATATTAAGAATTAAATGTGTCTGTTTAAAAAATAGTTTTATCATGAATCATTTTATTCCAAAAATTAAGAACAGTCAACACATTAAACTTTCACTCTGAGTGTGGTATGTCTGGGATGGAGAAAGCGGGAGCAGGAGGGTCTGGGAGGATCCATTTGAACTTGTGGGTTTAGAGGGTGCTGGGGTGTTAGATTTTCTCCAGCTTCATAAAGGAGATCCTTCTACATCTTTTTTCCATTCCCATTTCTTTAATTTCACTTTAGTCTCTTTTCCACTGTTTAAATTTAGTATCTTTTCCTTCATGAAACTATCCCGTTTCCCTTACATGTAAACAAATATCTTCCCATTATCCCTGTAATAAAACGGGACATTTGGAAAAACACGCTTTCAGCGCAGTTCTCCCAGTCTCAGTATCCAACCCTGCTACCTTTAAGTGGATCAGGATAAGAGACTGCTATCACTTCGGTTTTTTCACAGGTGGAAGAGGGAAGTTCTAAGGTTTTGGTCCAGTGATATATTTTAGTATACGTTAAATGTAATTTACATCCTGCAATATGCATTATTTGTGGATATACTTAATGTTTGGAACAGCATAATTATTTACATTCAGAGTTGTAGCACATTGAGATGTTACAACTTTAAAACTGCAGATAATTTCAACGAGACACCAAATGCATTGCTATCGAAAATATGCAAGGAATCAACACAAAAAGATCTATTTTTAAACGAATATGGGGGAATTCAGGTTTTCAACTTTTACCATTACTAATATTTTCCAAAGTAAATCCACCATCCTTGTTGCATCCTGGAAAACAGAACATTGTTCACCCAACGCTTATTGATGTGGGGCTTACTAACTTCATACACCTAAGGCTATTTTAGTTCTCTCATCATTTCTCCCATGGCAGTAGAGTTAGGAGGACGTTGTAGAATATTCCTAGTCACTATTCCAAGTCTATCTTTATCATTTTTAGAGGACAAAACCAACCCTTTTCAGCTTGTTATAAATCATTTTCTAATTTTAAAGAGAACTTGCCCTTTTATTTTTATGAAGGAGCCTTAAAAGAGCCATCTCCTTCTAACCTGGAAGCATGCCAGCATGTGAATCTGATATTGGCTTATGTAAAATTAAGAGAAAGAGAAGACACCCATACATCTCTTGGGGTCCCTCCCTGTCTCATCAGCAGTGGCTCAGAACGGCTCTTCATACCTCTGAACTGGTTCTTGCAAATTGTGTTTAAAAAGAAAAATAAAATCACAGTAGTTCTCTTTTTCTTGAAGGATGATGTATGGGAAAAAAAAAAATCCTTAACTTTTCAAGGAAACTGAAGACGCATTCTTCCTTTCTTCTCGTTCTCTTTGTGAAAACTACAGTTCTGCACATCTGTACATAATTTATAGAACGAGTAACATCTCATGTCACTGGAGGGAAAATTAACGTGAATGGAGAAATCATCAAGTTTTTCCTTACGCTTTGAAAAAAAATTTCCCATTTGATTTCTTTTTTTTTAACAAGTAGGAATTTAAAATAGATAACTAATAAGAACCTACTGTCTAGCACAGGGAACTCTACTCAATACTCTGTGGTGACCTATATGGGAAAAGAAACTAAAACAGGGGATATATATGTATGTGTATAGCTGATTCCCTTTGCTGTACACCTGAAACTAACACATTATAAATCACCTAGACTCCAATAAAAATTACTAAAATAAAATTAGGAATTTAAATTCAGGAAATTTTACTTTAAAGGAATAATTTTCAACCTGAATGAAGCAGGTTGTAAAATATGGATCATCAGGTTCAGTAGCTTGAATGTGAGGTTGAAGTGAAGGTGTCACCTGGGGGCGGGGTCATCAGTCCTGCCTTTAACTGACTCTTCCGACAGTAGCTTGAATGTGAGGTTGAAGTGAAGGTGTCCCCTGGGGGCGGGGTCATCAGCCCTGCCTTTAACTGACTCTTCTGATAATGAAGAAAGCGCAAGACTAGGCAAGGGGACGTATTAATACACCGCGTGAGCAGGAAGCTTCTTTTAATGACAGAGCGGAGGGCTTCCCTGGTGGTGCAGTGGTTGAGAGTCCACCTGCCGATGCAGGGAACGCGGGTTCGTGCCCCGGTCCAGGAAGATCCCACATGCTGCGGAGCGGCTGGGCCCGTGAGCCATGGCCGCTGAGCCTGTGCGTCCGGACCCTGCGCGTCCGGAGCCTGTGCTACGCAACGGGAGAGGCTGCAGCAGTGAGAGGCTCGCGTACCGAAGAAAAAAAATGACAGAGCGGAGCTCTTTCTGCCCTGTTCAGTCTTTCTTTTGTGACAATAGTATCGTTATCTCTGCAAATGATGGCTTTAAACTTCTTAAAGGGCTAAAATCTCTGCCAAGAAACTATCCCTTCTAATGGAGAACCCCCAGGTTTTCCTGCATCTCAATTCTGGTTTTTGATGCTCTTCAACATTTTCCTTTATGTCTTCCCGGCCTTTTAAGATAACTCAGCTAAGGCGGGTGGGTGATTAAGGGTGGGTTTAATATGCTGAACTCAAAGAACATACTGAATATTTAGACAGAAAACACATTGGGGCAACGGCCCCGAAAGCGTTGTGAGCATCTAATGACAGCCATACCATTGGAGCTCCCGGCGGAGTGAGACTGGCTCTGGAAGGTTCTGGAGCGGGTGCCATACTGCCCTGAGAACTGCCCACTCTGGGGTGGTAACTCGTTCCACGCACCACGGGAAGACGGGTGTAGGCTCGGTGGGGCCTCCACAGAGTTCAAACGCTGAGGCCAGATCGAATCCAAATCCTGGGGTTCTTCTTTCAATTTCTCCCCCTCCTTGCCCACACGCTGGTAGATCCTCCCAGCGCTGTCATTCAGTAATCTTCTCATTCCTGTAATTTGTTTTTTAATTTCCATGCTTTCATCTCCTAATGGAAATGGGGCCAGAGATATCACTGTAAATTAGCGAAAGAAAATATAATCCACCACCAAACCAAAAAAACAAACAAACAAACAAAAAAATGGCCACCCCTTTTTCCTTCTTTGGAAATGGGAACGATTACTGACTCCAGATGCAAGCCTCTCTTTTAAGAATCTTCTTTCCTCAGAGGATTTTTTTTTTTTCTTTTTTGAACCAAGGTACCTGTATTGCACTGAGGGTACCTAATAAATATTACTTAAACATGACTCAAATTATACAGCTATAAAATATTTTCTATAAATAATAACATTAGAGGAGGCCTAGATGTATTAGGAGCTATTTCAAACATACTATCTTCTTAAATTGTCATCAGCCAATATCTTTACAAAGATTAAGAGAAGCAGTCTGTTTGTTTTTTTCCTCTAATCTGGGTGTTAAAATAAAAGTCTAATGCCAGGGTATGTATACACACTCATACAGTCACTCTACTAAATGCCTGCAATTTCAACTACAAGAAAAGGAAAAGGCCCACAGAAAGTATCTATTAGGAAAAACACAGCTCTTGCAGATAAATCTAGCACATTTAACACAATCATGTTTTAATGCACTCAGCATCGTATTAGCCAGATTTCTCTGTAGCACTAACTGCACAATGAATGTAGGTATTTTGTGTTGTCTAGCTAGATATTTAGCTAATTAATATATGAATACATTACTGAATATAAGGGAACTTTTATATACTGCTTTCAAAGAAGTATCTTCAATTTTTAAAATAATAAAAATATTAACTGTCTAACATCTAACATGAGCAAACACAGAAGTGACACAGATTTCCAAATTTACAGTTCTGCCCTGTGTGGGCATATGCTTGAGAGGAGAAATATTTTAATTTGTAATAAAACTCTTTTCACTTCAAACACCTGTGACAATGACAATATAGAAACAATAAATCATGTTCCAGATTTTATGAGAATGAATGACCAAGCACAATTTAAGTAGTGAAGAGTCAGCAGAATTTACAAGTTTCTCAAGATGTCTGGGTAACAGGGTGTGCCTGGAAGAGGTCCCAGAGGAATTCTGAAAGATAAATCTGTATGCCAGTGTGGTTGGTGTTAGTTTCAGCATCCAAACCTAAACCTTCCTGGCTAGGTTAGCAGCGCAGTTTCGGCAAGAAGGAGCTTCTTTCCTGCAGCGTTTTTGTTCTTGATCTTCTAGATCAAGGACGTTGCACATGCGTCCACCTGCAGCACGCTGATCTTAGCTGGCACTGGCCGGTGGCTGCCACTGCCCTCCCTCCTGGATCCCTGGCGAGAGCTGCACCAGCCAAGCCAGATGAAGACAGGCACACTGCCTGGCTCCTGGGTCAGTGCCAGCTGCACATGAACCGTGACACATCACAGCAAAAGGGATGTTCTCTTTTCAAAGGTTCCACCTCTGCTCCGGGGACTGAATTCTATGATAAAGTGCTGTCTGGGGCGGGGAAAGAAGTCATGAGGATCCTGGAACTTTCTAAGAGCAAATCTGCTTTGTCATGACCTTAGTTTTACAGCCCTAGAAGTTGTAGCTCTGAAAATTACAAGACTGAAACTACAGTGTGAATTCTGCATACTTGGTCTTTTCATGTGGAAGTCCAGGCTCCTCGGTGGAGGAAAGAAGGCCCAAGCATCAAGGGGGATCCTGGCTGTGGGCTGACGTTTAGAAACATTTCTTCTAAAATCAAAAGTAAAAACAAACCACAACAACAGATCAGGACCTGGGACCGAGGAGGAAGGAAACAGGGGTCTGTGAAGGAGGGCAGCAGAGCTGGCTGACATCCTGAGAAGTGAGCGCACAGTCCATCTGACTGCGGGGCATCTGAAAGGACGGAACGTAGAAAAGTGCAACAACTGCCCAAGTCAAGGAGAGGAAAGTTGAGAGATGTGGGGAAGGCTGGAAACGGGCTGGTTGCGGGGAGCTTCTTAGAGGACACACGCTGGGCATCCCCAGGGGACAATGGGTAACTGAACTGTCCTTCCTTTAGCCAGAGACGTTGAGAGCAGCCCTGACCATACCGCCTGGGGAAAGAGCTCCTGGAACCGGATCACACGCTGGCTGGCGATGATGGGCTCTGCAGAGATGGGGAGAGTATCCTCTCACAAGCACATTTGGGAGGGATGGAGCAGAGGGCCGGGGGCTGGGGAGACTTGAAGACTAAAGGTGTGGACGACAGAAAAAGCCGAGCAGCCTGCACGCACTGGGATGGAATGGGTGTGGACTGCAGGCAAGCAGAGGCACTGCAGAGGCTCAGACCACGGACGCCGGTGTGTGGGTCAGGGGACAGGCAGGGGCTGGTGCTCCCCAGACCTGGACTCGCTTCCCAACTGCGCTGACATGCTACTTGATACAAGACAAGCCACCTGCCGTTCTCTACTTCAGCTTCCTGAACCATAAAATGAATTCTGAACTTCTCAGAAAAAGTGGGCTTGGGCTTCCCTGGTGGCGCAGTGGTTGAGAGTCCGCCTGCCGATGCAGGGGACGCGGGTTCGTGCCCCGGTCCGGGAGGATCCCACATGCCGCGGAGCGGCTGGGCCCGTGAGCCATGGCCGCTGAGCCTGCGCGTCTGGAGCCTGTGCTCCGCAGCGGTAGAGGCCGCGACAGTGAGATGCCCGCGTACCGCAAAAAAAAAAGAAAAGAAAAGAAAAAGTGACTGTCACAGTGAAGCCGTGTTCTCTGATTCCAAAACAAAACCAAAAAAGGGCAGCAAGTATTAAGAGATTGAGATTCGAAGCACTAGCTGACCTGTCTCTGTCTTTCCAGTTTTAAGGCAATGTCTTCTCCACGTATAAATGTCAGGAAAAGGAAGCTCTAAAGAAGCAGGATTCCCTAAGGAAACCTGTGCACTCTCCTGATTCCTTTCCAAACCTAACTGTGCCTTTACTGATGTTTAACCACAAGGGGCTGGATCTTTTAGAAAAGACAAAACAGTAAGAAATCTTACTAACATGGATCCATGCTATGTGGCTGCCTTATAGGTAAAAGAGCCTTAAATGAAAAATGTTTTGAGCGTTTACTGACTAGACTCCTTTGGACAAGGTCTACAAAAGATAGGAGGCTGGATTCTACCCTTTGCTAAACCTCAAGACTCTACAAGATCACTTTCCTGTACGTAAAGAATTTATATAATACATACAGAGCCTTGCAACACACAAGTCACCATACGGGATCTCCTTTAACTTGGCCAGGGGAGAACACGATTATTCATGGTTTGGGGTAATAAAACAAAAAAAGACGGTAATGCCCAAACATAGAGTGAGATGACGTACATAAACATTGTACGTCCGTTTCTATATGCCTTCTTTTCACAAAGAACAGTCACCATGTCTTTGTCCTAAAAATTAACGGGTGTTGACATGCAGTAGGCATTCCATATACCTTTCTTAAGTAAATGAGAGAAATGTCCTATCAAAAGCAGAGTGAAGTCCAGTAGAATTAAATGTGATCCTAAGGTTATAAACAAACACTATATTATATACAGTCCATATATATATGGACTGAAAAAGTACCAGAAATAAATCATTCAATGAACGTTTATCAAGCATCTCCTGGGCCCCAGAGATACAAAAATTATCTTGTCCAAATTGAAAGGTGCTCCCCCTCCAAATCTCTCAGCATCTTCTACCCAAATCCCTTTCTACTGGTTTGTTGTTCCAAGAAATGGTCCTGATTCTCCCCATCCTGTTGGCCCTACGCCTCTTTTAACTCTGTGCCCCTGGAACTCCAGGTAGCAGACTGCCCCATGATCTGTAGATGCCTCTGCTTCCTTGCTAGAGATAAAAATCAGCTCTTCTCTGAGGTCCCTGCCTCCCTGCAGCCCTTTATGAAAATTATTCACCTCCCATGCCCTCGGGGCTGGGGACGGTGGCCCCCCCCAAACATCACTCTTATGGCCCCAGACTCACTGTTGCTTGAGTTGATGCCACAGCTGCATCACCTCCCACCCTTCTTCCTGAACAGCAGTCTGTGTGCCGGGAGTTTAAGGCTCATAAAGAGAAGTGGCAGGTGATGAACTGGAAATGTACAGTGAGGTCATCCCAGTAAGGTACCAGGTTAAGGAAGAAAAATTTTGCGCTGGAGATAACTGGGTTATTGCTCTGGGTAGTTTAAAATTCATTATCTCTTTTAATTTTTTTTTTAATTTTTTTTTTTTTTTCCTTGCGTTACGCGGGCCTCTCACTGCTGCGGCCTCTCCCATCTGCGGAGCACAGGCCCCGGACGCGCAGGCCCAGCGGCCATGGCTCACGGGCCCAGCCGCTCCGCGGCATCCTTAGACAAGTCCTTTCCCTTTCCTTTTTTTTTTTTTTTTTTTTTTCCTTGCGTTACGCGGGCCTCTCACTGCTGCGGCCTCTCCCATCTGCGGAGCACAGGCCCCGGACGCGCAGGCCCAGCGGCCACGGCTCACGGGCCCAGCCGCTCCGCGGCACGCGGGATCCCCCCGAAACGGGGCACGAACCCGCGCCCCCTGCATCGGCAGGCGGACTCCCAAGCACTGCGCCACCAGGGAAGCCCTCATTATCTCTTTTGACATAAGGATGGTAAATAATCAGACCTTTCCTTTAGAAAAACAAATCTGGCAAAAGTATGGTGAAAGTGGTGTGGGCAGAGGAAACCAGCCAGCGGCTTGTTGCTAAAGGCTATGTGAGTGACCGTGCCAGTCTGTACCAGTACTGGGGGATGGGACTGGAGAGATAAGATGGAAAGAGAGACATTTAAGAAGGTTCCCCAGAGAGACTTGGTGATTCACTGCATGTGGGGATGCGGGTGGGATGTGAAGGAGAATCAATTAAAGATAACTCCAAGGTTTCTAGTTTGGGGGACTGGATGGATGCTAACACCAGAGAATTAGAAGGGTGCAGGGAAAGGGCGATACAACGAGGCTAGTTTTGACAAAGGCAACCTAGGTAATCGGCAGGCAGCTGGAAATGTACATGAAGCTGACGATGAAGCAATGCTCCTGAACTATTCCCGCAG